CAGGCATTTCTGAAAGAAAGTTTACAGTTACATAGTTTTGAAAAAATTTTTGGTGTCAAATAATTGTTGTTACATATGTATGGGTAAACTATTTAATACCACATGTTTCATATAATACTTTTCGTAACCAGACTTTGTTTCTATGTATTTATGAAGTGTTTTTTTTCTCCTCTCTATGCCAGGTATTACGCAAGAAGAAATTGATGATTTGAGAAGTTGTACAGCCAAGAGGATGTTGAGAGATCTGACTCAAGCAGTAGATAAGGGACAACTTGAAGTATTAGAATGCAGGGATTGCCATGGTGCTACTCCAGTAAGTACAACCATTTAACTTGATATGTGAATACTGGAGGCATGGGAATTAATGCACCCTTATACAAATGGTGTTACGAACTAAAAAAGGCCAGTTATAAATGGTCAGTGCCCTGCTTTCCAGGGCATCAACTCTATAGAGTCTAATGGGGGGGGGGGGGGGGTTTGTGAGTCACTAATGTCCTGAGTGACAGTGGCTAATTCTTATGTGGATGCCAAGATATGCAAGTGACCACAACATTAACCTTTGATCATGGGTGTGACACATAATGCAATGTACTCCAAGGGGAATCCATGCATTGATAAAATCATTAACATGTCAAGTAACAAATAGTTTGGATGAACACTTAACTGGAAAAATGTTCTTGATGTAGAAACTATTTTAAACATACATGTAGTACATGGAATTGATTGTACTACTCATTCAGTCTGCATTATGCCATGACTTTTCTAAACAAGACATATTTTATTTTAGTAAGCATATAAAGTATTAGGGAAGCAAGTTGTTAAACTTTCTTGCAAATTGGTTAATAGCTTGGGTTTTGACTAAACAGTCAGTTTTGCAACTACTGTTGTCTACTTGTGGTCACACCAACTCCAGACAGATGTATATCTCATTGCCGAAGTTATATAATGATTAAAAGAATCATTTATAAAACTATAACATACTTCAAATTAAACTATTCCAATTTGATAAATATAAATTAATTTCATGTTTCATGAATAGCTTACAGATACAATAATAATTATGTTTATTACACCATAATAAAAAGAAACAATGATAACTTCAAGTAATAGAGAAATACTACGAACAAAACTTAATAAGCTGCTGTGTTAGGCAGTGAAAGTTTTAGACATATATGTTTGTTATGACAAATAATAAATTGATTGAGTTTGAAGATATACAGCAAACCAGCATTGAAACTGCACAAATTGTTGTTGTCTCATGTGCTGTCAAGTCTACAATAAATCAACCAGTTAATCTGTGCGCAGTTTGCCCTTTTGCTGTCACCAGTCAGACCTAATGTAACATTGTATGTTTTATAGTTGCATTTAGCTGCCGCAAATGGATACATTGAAGTTGCTGATTTCTTATTGGATCATAACGTACGCCTAGACGTCAAAGATAACGATGGTTGGCAACCAATACATGCGGCAGCTTGTTGGGCACAGGTAAGTTTTTTTCGGTTCATCAAAATGTCAAGAATTATTAAGAGAATGCATTTGAAATATCAAATTATATGCTACTCCAAATATTTCAAATTATATGCTACTCCAAATATTTCAAATTATATGCGACTCCAAATATTTCAAATTATATGCGACTCCAAATATTTCAAATTATATGCGACTCCAAATATTTCAAATTATATGCTACTCCAAATATTTCAAATTATATGCGACTCCAAATATTTCAAATTATATGCGACTCCAAATATTTCAAATTATATGCGACTCCAAATATTTCAAATTATATGCTACTCCAAATATTTCAAATTATATGCGACTCCAAATATTTCAAATTATATGCGACTCCAAATATTTCAAATTATATGCTACTCCAAATATTTCAAATTTGAACAAACAAGGCTTGGAAATAAATCTTGTCATGTGATGTCAGAGATAATATTATGGGATTATGTATAAATATTAGCATTCATTTTAATCTGATTTAACCTTTTCACCACCAGACTTCAAATTTTCTCGCCCAAATTATTCTGCTCTTTTTTCTTAAATTCTTCAATATTTCTGGAAATGAACCCTAATTTTGGAGCCAACAGACAATTTAAATCAATTTTCAGTTTTCACTCAAAAAATTTGGCTATTTTTGTCCCGGTTTCTCTGTAGAAATCTAAACTAAATTAAAATCGAACTATTTTTTGAATTTGTGATAAAATAGGGAACTGGTAGTGAAAAGGTTCTTCTTTGTATCATGTGTGGGGAAAGTGCTTTTAAAGTATTTTTAAATGAACTTACTAAAAATATTTTGTATATTATGAGGTTATTACAAGGGTACTGCAAAGTAAGCATCAAGACAGTACAGCGAGAGTATCGACCTATGTGCAATCCTTGTAATAACCTTATTATTATACATCTTTTCCTCCAAGGAATACATTATGGGAATGCCTAAACGTTTGGAACAGATTTAGCGAACATCTTTGTGTGGGGTCTGGTCAAACCTGGGGGGCAGCTATGTTTGTTTTTTAGCTCCGCTGTCGACTTTGTCGAGCGGAGCTTATCATATGAGTGATTGTCCGTCGTCGTCCGTGTCAATTTTTTACTTTTTCAACTTCTTCTTGAAAACTACAAGCCTGAATGCTTTGATACTTGGTGTATATGTACCTTGGGTAGACCTCTCTCAGATTTGTTCATTTCATGATCATATCTTCAATTCTCTAATTTTGGTGAATATTTTTGTCATTTTTGGTAAAAAGTTATATTTTCGACTTCTTGTTAAAAACCGCAAGTCCAATTGCTTTGATATTACATATATAGGTACTACATGTGGACCTCTCTCAGATTTGTTCATTTTGTAATGATATCGCCAATTCTCTAATTTTGGTGAATATTTTTGTCATTTTTGGTAAAAAATTATATTTTCGACTTCTTGTTAAAAACCACAATCATTTATGGTGAAAAATGATATTTTTGAATTCTTGTTGAAAACAGCAAGTCCCATTGCATTGATACTATGCATATTGTTCTTTTCTAATGATATCTTCTGTTCTTTAATTGAAATGTGCATTGCTAACAGGAGCTATCTCAGCCGAGAGGCTGCTTGTTTATTATTAGAGGACGCTTACGCTCATAATCGCTCTGTATTTGGAATTTGCGTTTCCTAATATGGTAGGATGAAAATACCCAGTGCAATACCGCAAAATTAGGGCACGCTGTAACTTATGGCATTACAGTGACAGATGTATAATAATATTTGATATGTTTACAGCCTGAAATGGTGTACATATTAGCTATGCATGGTGCTGATTTGGATGCAAGGACCTATAATGATGAGATGCCATTTAGTAAGTTCCTACTGTATTGTTTTTTATATTGAGTATTTATACTGAATACTTATATTTGCTCAATTCAAAGTGCATCTCCAATGGAAGTGCATATAAACCAAAAATCATATTTGTTGTATACTGAATCGCCTCAATAGAGCAAATTTGATATGATCAAATTTCAAATGATTGTAAACTGAGAACAGACTTCTCAATGTAAAGTGAACCAAGTGAGTATTGGTCATCAAATCCGGGGGTAGAATAACGCATTGGAGAGGAGCACTTGTAGCTAAGGTGTTTGTTGCTCAACTGCTAGGCCTGGAACTGAATCTAAATACCCGAAATGTTCCATATAATGTATCAATATCATTATGCAAATAACTTAATTAAGAATTTTCATTAAGTCTTCAATATAAAAATGTCATTCTCAATCAGACAATTTACATTGATGTATTGATATTACTATACTTGTATATTTGTTAATCAGATTAACTTTTCACTATTGAGGTATTAAAGCCAGAAAAA